TACAACTGCTTGTTTGATTAATCCGATTTCAGAATGTGAGGGGGAAAGAGCTTTCGCAAGATTAAAGACGGAGATAACCAGCAAGCAAGATAAAGCTTTAGAATAACATATTCGCGAGTATTGTCAATTAAAAGGACAACCAAACCCTTATCAGCTACATGTAAGATCTCCCACTGCTCTGAGGCCAATCAGTGTTTCTGGACTTATTTAATTATCATGAGGACTGATGATGAAAATCCGCCTTCATGAATGCTGATTAATTTGTAATATAACGGACAAGGAAAAAACCTTTAGAACCTTTAATTCAATTTTTATAGAAAAGGAATAGAAAAATAATAGGCATTTGTCAGAACTCCATACGGCATCACTCTCAAAAAGTACGAGCGCCTTATAAGCAGATGATAGAATTACCGAGCTAGAGTCTTAGTTTGACCTTGTTTTGTAACTTAGTCAGAGCGAGAGGTAGACCTTGTGGAACGTACTTAGTCATAGTAGTCATGATAATTTCGAGCATCGGACCGTTGACTTGATAAATTCCCACAAGTTTCGCAGGCATTATAGTCGGCATCGTCAGTAAGAGACGCCATCCTTAGAAGAGATACAACTTATCAAATTTCTATTCAATTATTGTGGCATCACTCCTTTAATCTTTATCCAGGCTTCTAACACCCCCTCCCTTATAAAAAAAAAGCGATATTTGGATGACAACTTCGCACTCTGTTCACGTGGAAAAGAAAAATTCGACGATTTCCAGATCTTAAAATCTGCTGATGAATAAGTCAAATTTATGTAGAGCACACTTACCTTTCTTGGATGTAGAGGTCATTCGTTCCAAATAGACGCCCAAGAAGCGGCTATTCCAAAAGAAATCACATGCGGGAACAATAAAAAATTTCCCGTCTCATTGTAATTAAATATTGAGGATTGGAATACTCAGGAGTATGGCTATGAGAGGCCTACGACTAAATGATACTGATTTCTGGAACGATAAACTCAAAAAAATTAACTCGGATATCTCCTGGAAATGGATGTATAAAAGAAACAATACAATGAGGTATATAGGCTGTGATGAACAGATAACAGGATGGGGATAATGAAAGGAATTAAAGGAAGGCATAGGAAAAACGATTGATATGTCTACTATCCTACAAATTGTTCTGGAAGTTACAACCGCTATTAATGAAATGTAGCATTCTTACAATCCTGTAGGAGGGGACAACGCCCAACACCAGCTTGCCCACATGACATGAAAATGTCAAAATTGAATGGTCTTGAGTGTACTGCATAAACTACATGAATTGTAAGTAAAAGCACATTGGAGAGATTGAAAGAACAATCGGTTAAAGGAATGAAGAACACCAGCAACTCTATGTAACAATGGATAAGGAAATACCGGAGATATTTTCAGTTTTTACAAGGTTTTCGAGACTACCAGTAGATCATAAATGTAAGATATATTCACCCTTATTCGTTAAGGCGATTAAGGAGTGGCAATTGAATTTGAACGATATAAATAGACCTCGTGTTCACATCGAATTTCACATAGCCTCGCTTCTCAAAGAGTATTCTCATCCAGGGTGGATTGTAGTTTCGACCTTGCCTAGGTCGATTGCTATAGAAAATACAACTCTGCTTCGTCCTTCATCACCTTATAAGAAATAAGGTGAACAGAGCTCTTATGTAAAATCAGAGATAGCCGAACATTTTGCACTGGTCGACCACAATCCTGAAGTACAGGACAACGCTCTTCACCAGTTTGCCCACAGAACATGAAAAGGTCAACAAAAGAGAGTGCTCTAGAGCGTACTGCATAAAAGGCAAGAATAGATTAGGGAGAGGGGAAGGACAATCAGCACAAGGATTAAGGAGTACCAGCGACTGGTGAACAATGGAGATCAGCCACATTGTCCTGGCTGGCCTCACGATTGACTGGACTAAACGTAAAGACTGGCCTCATATGGGGAGACTATAAGAAACGGAAGATCAGGGAAGCCTTGGACACCATATTTTAAAGAAACCTAATGAGCATGAGATTGGAAGAAGGAAGTCAGTGAGAATTTAGCTTGCTCCTTAGGCAGACTTGGAGAAATTCGAGTATCAGCAAGGACAGCTAAAATGCGACCCTGGAAACAAGGAAATCTATTGAACAATAAGAGAGACTTCGCCAGTAAGAGGAACATGATGGACAAATGAAGGCAAAGAGAAAGCGATTATAGTTATTACTGAAGTCTAGGATCGGCTTCGAAAAGTTACAGATGTGCGTCCACCTGAGAGATATGTAATTAAAGTCCCATCCACGTCCGAATAGTAACCGTTTAGAAGTGCGGTTTCCACTTTAGTATGGGAATTGAGGTGGTGGCACAATAATCGTTAATCCCTAATGTGTATGTGTGTGCGTATGCATTTTCTGATGTGTGCATGTAGTGAAAGGTGGTTGTTGACATACCTGTCTAGAGTAATCACAAAAAGCGCAGACGCATACAGCCTACTAGAAACTTAGGCGTAAGTGGGAGTGCCAACGTGAGAAACAAGAGGTATGTGCCTTATGTGATTAAGAAGTGGGGTAGTTAAGAGGTACATATTCTCGCAAGCCGTTCCAAATGAAGCAAGAGAGAATGAGAAAGAGTATATTGGGAATGGAAAAGAAGAAAACTGGGTCGTTGGAATGAAGGATAATGAGAAGAAGCCTAGGTATGAGAATAACCCTTTTAAAAATCCTCGAATATGACGTTCCATGCTTTGTCTAGCCCAGAACAATTGGCAAGCGGCGTGGAGGGGGCTAAATTAGTGTAAGGAGCCCTAGCCCGGAAACCCTGTAAGTAGCATCTGAAACCGGTGACGATTATTACGCTTCACTAAGTCCACTTGAAGTGGAGACATTGGAGTAAATGAGAACAAAGAATGGTGTGAATAGGTAAATGTGTCGTATGAAGTAAGGTTAAGAAGAAGGGAGGCTACGCTACAAGCTAGGACAAAGGATCGATGAGTGGTGCTATAACGGTTAAACTGAAAATTGGTCATAGGGATTGCCTTAAATTGTCACTTTGATGAGTTGCAACTCTGTGCTAAGAATGGCGCCTCTCACTGACAATGCTGGCGAAACGTCTGGGAATGTACTATGCTGGAAGTCCACATGAAGACTATGGCAGAGGACGCAGAACCAGAGTTAAATTCCACAAGGTCTCTCTGTAGCTCCGATCATGTCGCAAAAATGAGATCAAACCAACACTATATAACCATAGGAGACTTGGCTAAACCTATGGTGACACCATCTTGGTTTTCACATTTACGATCCGAATTCAAGTTAAAGAGGTCTACTAAAAGACCGCAGTTAAATAGCAAAACTAAAAAGTGGTGGCAGATTTAGCTGATCCATTAAAGCCACTATGGCTAATGGCATGCATACAAGAGAAGCCTTGGAAGTGATTAAAAAGGATTCGCTCACACAAGTTGATATTTCGTCACTGTGATTGCGTCACTGTCCAAGGAAACGGAATGGAACAGTCGACCGATGCTCATTTTGCATTTAATCTGCAAAGGAAGAAGAAGTGAATGCAAGTAAGTGAGGAGTCAAAGAAATAGGAAAATCAATTGTAAATTGGTATTTATGAAATAATATCGCTTTTATCGGGTTGACCACGTACTAGTTAGGGCGAAATTATACTAGAATAGCACAATAATGGCTGCTTCTAGCAGTGTGGCCAAAATGAGCTTATCCGCAAGTACTGAGGGGATGAATCTGACAAAGTGCAGTCGCATGGCCATGAGTAGATATGAGGTGAGCACAAGGCCAAGTGTGCGTAGCACGAGAGCAAGGTGAGAGGGGATGATATGGTTTACTGCGGGACGGAACTGGATGTATGCGTGGGCTGAAACGGCCGACGCACCAAGAGGCTGAGTTGCTACATGCCCGTATGCCAAAGTGGGCTCAAAGCAAACCGTGAATCCTGACTGAACGGGACGTGTCCTGTTCCTTGGGGGTAAGACGTGACCTAGGCTTCGTGCATTTGACCTTTCGACTGGGCGAACTAGGAGAGACACAGTGAACGGGCCAAATATGACCATGAAAAACGGACAAATGTGGCATGATCAGGCCTATAGTATACACTCCGTAGCATATAACCAGATATGCACACACAGTGGTGGCAGCGGATGGAAACCGACCATGCGCTTGTGACAGAACGCACTAAGCGGATAATCGGTTCGGCTTCACCGGTGGCCCTGAGTGGATCATGATTATCCGTCCAGGACAATAGGTGGTGAGAGGACAGCCAGACGGACTAAAGAAAGCGAAGCTATAGGGCAAAGAAAAATTGAATAGGAATGAGGGAAAATAAAATAAAAGAGATTATGAAAAGAGGAATCCTGACAAAAGGGTAGTGAAAAGCCCGGTTAACAGCAGTGGCATACAGGAGGGCTGCAGGTGCAGCTAAAATGAAAAGCTGATAGTGGTAGTGGTATCCAAGAAATGAATTGCAAATGAAGCACTATTTACATGATCGGTGCATGTGATAGGCTCCAACAGTAGCAAGAGTGAGGCCCAGGAGGCAAGGTTGGAGCCAAGTAATGGGGCTTGTAATGATAAAAATAATAATATCTTCTAAAGATAAACAATGGTAAAAAATCGTTTTTATTCATTATTTCT